AAGATCATATGTCCTAACATCAAGTATTCGACTATCGCACTTACTCTCCGGATTCCTTCCGATCTAAATTCACGGCTCCAATGTACGCCACTCTGCAACAATATTTTTGTAACGATACTAAGCAGTCTTCCTTACAGGCACATATTGGTCTACGGTTATGCGCTCTTCGCGAGTTATTTGAAGAAACCGGATTGCTACTTATCGAGGATGGCTCAAGAGCAAACGATGCATCAGCTGCAGGCATTGTCTTGAGTCCATCTGAAACTACCAAGTGGCATAGTCGGTTACGCCTCGATCCTGCGGCTTTTCTGCTCCTCTATGCATCCATCGGATGTCGCCCACCACTGCTCTCGTTAAAAGAATGGTCTAACTGGATGCCACCGGATGAGTATTCTCCCCGATTTGATACAATGTTCTTTTTCGTACATCTACACTCGTTCGAATCGTGTGCCACCCATACGAATCCGATTTTGAAACTGACGGATGAAGCTTATGAGTTGTACGCGGACGAACCATTGTCTTTTCTGCCCATTTCTCTACACCGATTTATCCCTCCTCAGGCATACGAACTTGGACGCTTGTCCCAGTTTCCACATTTGAACCAACTGGCTACTTTTGCTGCACAACGTGCCACCCTAGGCTGTCGTTGCTGGAGACCCATCACTGCTGAAATTACTATCGCGGGCACAAAATGCAAGCTTTTCTTACTGCCTGGTGACCAACGGTACACAGATGTATGTGTTGCGCATGGTCCACTGACATTCTGCCTCAGTGATTTGGCACTGGATACTCAGCGTAACCGTTTCGTTATTAATCCGGATTGCGACGACTTCTGGTTGGATTCCACCACCAGTGAATTGGGTCATGTGCCTCCAATAACCCGACAAGTGTACTTCAGCCTTTGTGAGGCCACATGAATTCACTTCTTACTTTACTATTTACTGTCTAACTTATCTGTATCTAATCTAGAATAAAGGCTTTATATCTGTGACAATGTCTTCAATCGTTGCATGTGTCAAGCACAAAGAAGTGGCTTGGTCGTTGGTCACTCATAGGCTTACCGGTAATATTTAACGACATCCTCTTCCAAATATACACAAAGTGCTGATGGAGAGCAGCCAGTGGACGCCGGTGCCGAAAGTCTTTTTAGCCAGTTTGCACTGTACAACTGACAGTCCCCGTCACGCACACTTGGTTTAAACCAAAAGAAATTGAGCTGGACCACGCATGCACTGAAGTTACGTCTGGTTCGGCGTTTGTCCACAAATTTTCAGCTTGGAAACGCCTTTTGGTGAATGCCTTTTGTTTACGAAAGACTTGTAGGAGGTTTGAATGATATAAGTATAACTTAATCGCATATAGACTCAGACGGACAGCCACCACACGCCCGTGCAAGCACTGCACGGATGTTTTCTCCTCTCGGGAATCATCCGTTTTGCGCATTCCATCTGAGCCTTGTAGGGCTGGAACCTGCAACTCGACATTTGTCAGTCTGTGGTTAACACCATTGAGCGACCGGAAACGGCAACGACCGTCGTGACTACGTTACTAGGTGTGATATAGCGCCACTCACTATTCACTGACTTAAACCTTACTACCGTGCAGAAGACAGGTTAGTTCTTGGGACCACGGTTTCCCATCTATCTCCCCTACTATTGCACTACGACCGACATACAACCAAGTGTGTCTACAAAGTTGTAAAGCAGGGAGTGGCTAACGCTTGAGATGTCGTTGCTCGTGGGAGCTACTTTGTGCTATTTACGGCAGTGGGGAGTGAGAAGCAGCATATCACATCTGATAATAGCCGTGTCGGTCGTTGCTGGTGTCGTCTGACTGCATCTATATGTAACGAATTTCAACATCTTCCACCATGACACTCCTTGTATTTTCGCACCCTCCAGTTCTTCTACCTTTTGACTGAAGCACAGCTAAGACTCTGTCCTAAAATGCAGGCGTTGTAAAAGTTGCCAGGTCAGGTTCTGCGTTTTGTGCAGAACACTGGTTTGCGTGGTAAACGCAAGTGGATAGAACCCGTAACCCAACTGTCACCAGTCCATGGTTAAAACTACTTGACTACGAGGTGCGGTAACGATCTACTAAGTGATATAGCGCTGTGTCGGATTACGGATTTTAGTCCTACATTGGCCAGATGGAATGCGCACTGCTGACGATTCCCGCAAGGTTCAAACGGCCGTCCAGTGCTTTACGGCACGCGTGCTGGCCATCTGACTGAAGCAAATATAATAGACTTTTACTCAGAACCTTAGTTCACTGGCCTTGGCGTTTGGCTTAACATTTCTAGGTTCAGTTGCAAGTCCATACTCCTGAGCCGGTTTGCGCCCGCTTAGAATCACTCATCCAAAGGTTGTATAGCAGCGAGCGCTGATGGTTTGTTCTTTTTTGCTATCTAATGCAGTTAAGTTGGTCGAGGGGTTACGAGAGCAAATGTACCCTGAACGCCTACTTAGTTTGGGGATGCATTCAATGCACTATAGAAGGATTGGAGGGGATATACTCCTAACCTACGGCATTCTGACTGGGAAGGTTGGCCGTGATTTGTCCTGGCTATTTAGTCTTGCTAGATTATCTAGTCTCCGCGGGAATTGTATGAGACTGGGCAAACCGCGGTCCAGGTTGCTACGCGACAGGCGTGAGTATGTGCGACTGCAGCTGGCTAGTGCGGACCGCTAGTAAGTTTGAGATCTGTTCAGGCAAGTGGCGCGATTCAGCTCCGAAACGTGCAGCCGGAGATGATAGCATGTGACCCATAAAATTAACAGGGTTCTGTTCCTATGAGAATTTGGTCTATCAAGCTTCGGTGTTTTGTTTCTTCCCTGGCTGGGTTTGCTGCACAGAGAGCAGAGGCGAAGGGAGTACTACAACAAAACCAGATGAGGATGGCGCACAATCCACCAACGCAAGTTAACTTGTTGTCAACTGATGAATGGCATTTTTTTAAATGTATCCTACCTTTTAACGTCTCTCCAAGCGTTCATGCGAGACGTCATTTGTTGGACCCACATTCGGTTTGACTAGCTTCGAGGTCAGCGCACAAATGGATGTCCAAGGAGGCCGAGGCCCAGTTAACATTTGTATACCCGTGACTAAGTTTTATGTTACACATTTCGTCTACGCTGACCTGAAGTTCCGATCATCAGTCCATACAGACGTCATGGTACAAGATGGGGCGACAATTTCCATTCCCGATAGCGTGGATGACTTGAACTGCGCCTAGGCCGGCGTTCACACTTTTACATGCGCCAGTGAACCTAGAATCCTCGTCGAGACAAACGTAACTTTTGAGCCTATACTCTACGTAAATGCTGTCTACCAGATAGTTAAATGGTATCTTCCTCGACTCCGGAAGCGGCTGGTTGCATTAGGCGCTTGATCAATCCATACAGCTGCTTCTTGTAAAAATGCAGTTTGACAAAATAACGGTTGGTCGATTTTGCTACACTGCACCGTTACACACCAGTCCAACTGGACTGGCTTGCATGTTTTCAACTTCTGTATAAATCATTCATTTTTTTACAAAGGCGTTTGCTTCTAACTAATCACCCTGAGATAATTTCTTTAATTCATCCAAGAAGGAAGCTTTGTTATAGTTAACATTCATAACTCGACACATGGCCTGTTCGCGCCTCGGTTCCTAGATAACTAAATAAACGGTGTATTCTTCGGCACTACGAAGCGCAGTCCAACTGAATAGTCGGATCAATAGATACAGCGGGATCTCATATAGCAGGTAATTGACTGGACTTTTGGAGTGAGTGACAAATCGAATGTATTGGAAAGATGATGCAAATTGCGAGTGATAACAAATGCAAATTCGACCAAATGTCCATATGAAGTAATACCGCGATATGTGAAACCGTCTCCAGGGGACCTGCTTCCATGCAGGTATTCCCCCGAAAGGTTTTACGCATACTTCCATGCCCACCTGGCTGTGTGGCGGTGTGATAAACTAGAAAGTAATCCCTCGCCTGTTTGACAATGTGTTTAGGGCTGCTATTTTATGCGTAGATTATGGGCGATAAAGCCCCTAGCCCGTTTCTTCATACCGCTCATTCGAGTATGGCACTTTGTTTATACGCCAATGAGTCATTGGCAATGCACCTTGCATGGGTATAACTTTTATCGTCGAGGCTTCAATCTCTTACCCGAGGAGACTAGCCCAGTCTTGGCCAGCAGTGGAATAACGAAGAATATAACATATGAAATATGAAATTAGCAAACAACAGAACAATAACATGGATAAATAAACTAATGACATGTTTCACACTAGTGCAAGAAATACTGGTGGATCATCCGATCTAGTTGTGCGGTAGGACGGCCGATGACAGATGACTGCTCGAATTATCCATAGGCAAGAAGGTACCAAAAGAGTTTTCATGGGCATCATTAGTTACAGGCATCCGAACAGTAGATTATTCGATATCTCTACACACTGAACTTTGGTGGATCCTCCTGAACTGGTGCCTCTAGAAAGGCAGAAGAAATGAGTAAGATTACAGAACTACTGTGACGAACAGAATGTCCGAACAAATGTTACGTGTAGGTCAGTCTATAGAAGGGAATACAAAAATAGTTATTATCCCCATATTAATAATCATTATGGCCCTTAACCTCAGATCAAAAGGCGGTCAATACAAGTAAAGTATTGGCCAAATTATCATAAATTCAGTAGAGCTAGAGCTAGGTTATAGTTTTATCTTAATTTGTTATTTCCTACTGCAGTTCACATTTCTGGATTACATTTGTCTGGTTTCGGATCAATTTACAATTTTATTTAATTACTTTTATTTTTATGTTTCAAGTTAGCCTCCAGTAAAGTCACCACAGTCGCGCAATTATACTAGCATATTAATGACTAGATTAGTTGACCTAACCCCAAGAACGCGTGCAAAATTGAAATTTTGTTGATAAAAGTTGTCAAATGATCAGAAATTACTGCCAATGTTTGTGTTAACCCAGTGTCTGAGTGTCAAATTTGAAAGAAATGGCAAAAATGTTACGCCTGTCCCCCAAAGGTTCAACAATCTGATCCCATGTTCGACTTCGGCGCGTGAGGGTGGATCCAAGGAGACGGCCCAGGGAGGAGGGCAATGAGTGCCCGAAAATGTAAGTCAGAATCCGGTTGGTGTTCGACCCAACGCTCCAAGCCTTTTGACAAGCTGTAGTTCGGCTATCCACTCACGTCACCAATAGTCTCGTTAATACCAGCTCTTCTTCTGTTCGTTTCGTGTAGCAGACGGAGTAACTTCCAATGGTTACCTAGGGCAGTGGTTGTTTCTATTTTCGATTCGTAAAGAGACCACCAGACTTCGCTGTCCGTCTTCTTGCTAGCACGCAATTACACCCTGAGATCTTTTCAAGCCTCCTTGTGTTCGCTGTCAGCTGGAATTTGCTGGCTAGCATTTAGAAGTAACAGAAACTGCGTAGAGACCTGATGTCCAGGTTGGCGATTTGATTTGCCACATGAAACACACTCGCTGCTAATAACATCCATCGAATAAGCGACCAGTGATCTACTCTGTTCAGTGAACGCTTACTCAATCCGCAAGCCAGCGTACTTTGATACGTATACAGAACATCTGGTTTCTCCAGTTGCTTGGTATCTATGCCGTCCCTTCGCAGCTGCGAACGCATTCCAAAACGTGCCCACAGGCCAGCACATACCGGTGCGTAGTCAGAGTCTACGATCATGCTCTAAATTTAGCGGCAGTTTTGGACGCAGCCTCTCCAACGGTAACTGATCATGATGGGATCGATTTGCGTCCAAAGCCGGTGCGCGCCAAGCCACTCTTCTGCGAGTGTGTAGAAAGTTTGTGCTCGTTAGAAATAGGCGAACATCTTCACGCAGGTGTAACAACCGCTCAACGTTGTGACTACGCTAACCTGCACCGTGTTGGCCGTCCAAACGCAGCACATCAGTGGTCAGTTTTCCGACGTTTGTTCAGATCACCAGGCAGCGCCGCGGTATCCGTA